CGTAAACACTCTCGACTGCTGATTGGTCAGAGAGAATCGCTGGCAAGGGGGCTACAACTACAACAAAATGAACACATTTGACCGTGATTTAAATGTAATGCACGTTTCAAAATGATACCGAAGTAACAACATACTGATACCGGTCTGCAGACAGACGGCAGGCGAAACACCTTTTTAAAATGCGTGTTTTCCGAATGGAGATCGGCTAAGCTAACGTTGTATATGCTCCGTCCACACACTTACAACAACGGCCTACAGACATAAATAAACCAGCGACTGTATTCGCCATGACACAGACAGTCTGTGGTTTTTGCTTGTTTAACTTTTGTCTAGTTTCTGAACAGATATGAGGAGCTGTGAGCTCTGAGTGCTAACAGCTAACGGCGGATGTTTTGGTTTTGTGGTTCGCATTGAAGATGACCTCACGGCAGTTTTACGCAGTGTCGCTCCGCCCGCCGAACAGCCGATCGCCCCGCTTACACTGCTTTACTATAGTAACTACCCCAGTTACTAAACTGTAATGGAAACGCAGCTTAAAGTGAGCCTGGCCTACCAAGGCCAAACTAAGCTGTGCTAAGCCGTGCTAGGTCCTGCAGTGGAAAAGCGCCATAAGAAACACAAAATAAGAAAGGAGAAAAAGCCTATTATCTTGCGTCATTTCATTTAGTCTACCTGCCCAGTGAAAAAATATGCAACTTAGCGTAACATTTAACTATTACTTTTATTTTAGCACAAATCTGGTTTGTATTTGCAAAAATACAAACCAGATATTGCTGATCTGTCAAATAATGTGTCATTTACAAACTGTGATACTTGGAGAGAAGAATACAAAGCTAACAAAATGTTAGTTGTTGTGGGGAGATATGTTTTTACGGCCATTACCAACATGAATAGAAACAAGTCTTTAAAGAAATATAAAAACAGCCAGACAGCATTGAACTCCTGGCAAACAACTTGAATGTGCATGCTTGATTTGAAGGTTTTCTATTCCTTCCAGATGGCAGCAGAAGAGGAGACCCAGCGCCTGAGGAGCCAGCTGAGGGAGCGGGATGAGCAGGTCCACCAGGCCGCTCAGGCCGGGCTGGATCTCCTCAACCAGCAGATGGAGCTGCAGAGCCGATTGGACGAGCAGAGGGTGGAGATGACCAACGCTCTGGAGGTGTGACTCCGCACCATCAAGGGTCAACTTAGCCAGAGCATCAAAAATCCAATATGTTCTCCAGTGGTTCCGCTGTACTGCAGTACACTCCTCACTGTTTACATCGAATCATAATGACCATTAAAGGGCATGCTTGATTTTATTCAAGAAATACATTTCTGCATGTCTTTATTAAAGGAGCAGTGTGTAATTGCAGGTCACCTGCTCAAAAAGAGGGGTAGCATTACACCTCTTGTTCCGATGTCAGTACAATCTCAATTTATAATCATCAGATATGAAAAAAAAGCCAACAAATAAGTAGCAATGTCAAGATGTTGGTGGATTCCAAAATTCTGAAAACCAGAATCAAAATGCTTTATTTCTCCAGGGGGAAATAGGTTTTGTGACATTTCATCCATTCTAGAACAAAATAGTGAAAGATGAAAAAACATTAAAATATTTGTATTAACATAAGAATATATGGGAAAAGTGTGCAATTTTTAAATAAACGAGTGTATATAATAATAATAGTAATAAGTAAAAATGTGGACATTGTACTACAATAATATGTACCGGTATGTCACTATATAGTGATGAAATAAAACATCATGGTTTAACTTTTTTTTTAAAGTAATTATAATACCATTGGTGCTTGAGAATAACTTCATCTAGGGGTTGCTAGAAAATGCGTTTGGGAGGAACACAGATCCTCTGGGCATTCCCTTAAAACATGACATTGTAGATAAAACGATGCATGTTGCAGGAGAGCTAATAACGTCAGCAGTTACATGTTAGTGGCCCTGTGGATTATTCTGAATTGTTTCCAACTCAAACTCCTGTCTTTGTGTGATGCGTGTCTGAAAGGTGCTGGAGCAAGAGAAGTACTCCCTTCAGAAGGAAGTGGTGCTGAAGACTCGGATGTTTGAGTCCCTGCAGTCAGACATCGAGTATTTGAAGAGTCAGCAAAGGAGGCAGCTGGAGGAGCAGCAGGAACATCTGGAGAGGAGCTGTACATCAGCCCTCACTGAGCTCAACAACAAGGTACAGCTCAGCATGTCAGCAGGACACACACACACACACAATCAGACATGATCAATGATGTTCAAAACATTGGTGAGACTTTTACGAGAATATCCGTTCCTTTTATGCTTTACTATAATAACAACAAAAGCTTTGATTGTCAAGTAAACATCTTCCTGCATGTTCCTAAGCACTGATGTAAATGTTTTGGTTGGCATTACCCAGTTGCTGGCGCTGCAGTCGGCTCTGGAGGAATCCCAGCTGAGTAAGAAGCAGCTGGAGCACAAACTGGAGGTGCAGACGGAGACTCTGAACAACAAGATGGAGGAGCTGCGAGCTCTGAATGAGAACACGCAGAGCTCCATGACCTATGAGATGATGGAGGTGAAGCTGAAGATCATGGAGCTGGAGACCTTAAAGGTGAGCAGAGCTCCCAGTATCTATGGTGGAGTCAGTCTGTGTCTACTCTAGTGTTAATTTCGTCAGCTATTTTTTTATTTAGTTTTAGTCCTATGTTAAATTTCCGTTTTAGTCATATTTAGTCACCTTCATCCTGTATTTATTTAGTCAAGTTTTAGTCGACTAAAAGTCTGAGCATTTTAGTCTTATTTTAGTAAAAGAAAACTAATTATTTTAGTCTACTTTTTGTCAATGAAAACTGTTGAGTCTTTTTTAGTCATCAGATTATATAGAACATTTCAGACAAACTAGTCTAGCAAAAACCAATAATTTGTCATTTTAGTCAAACTTATTTCACAATAAGATTATATCTTGATGAAAAACACAGGTTGAATGATTAAGAATGGAGCTTTGCAGAGAGTATCTGGTCGGCGGTCCTGGAGCTTGGACGTGCGGAGACTGAGTAGACGGAGATAGGAGTGAACGTTGAAGTGAGTGCGAGATTGAGAGCAGCTGGTGGAATGGCTTCTTTGAGTCCTGGAGAGGAGGATATGGAAAGTGCTTCTGAAGGAGGATGGAATGAAGTAAGGAAAAATACTTCAAGAAAGAAGATAGACATGTCAAGTGACAGTCTTAGTGAATCTGATTCACAGAATGAATTGAAGAGAGTAAAGAAAAGGATTGAGAATGAAGAGTGGAAAGTGATTGTGGAGTTTGGTGAGCAATCCGCAGCTAAGCTACATCCAGTGGCCCTGACTAAAGCAATTCACAAAGAAATTGGATCGATAAAACAAGCAAGATTTCTGAGCAAAGGACGGATGTTGGTTGAGTTGATTAATGCAAGACAACAGGAAAAGTTACTGAAAATGAAGACCATGAATGAAGTTCGAATTAAATGCCATGTTCCTGGAGCAAATCGGAAAATACTTGGAGTTATCAGTGGAGTTCCCATAGAAATCGGCATAGAAGAACTCAAGAAGGAAATTAAAGGGGGGAAAGTGACTGTAGTAAAGCGTCTTCCTACTAGGTATCAAGGTAAGATAGTGGATAGTTTGTCTGTTCTTCTTCAGTTTGAAGAAACAATACAACAGAAGATAATGATCGGTTGCATGAGCTTTCCAGTAAGAGAATTCATCCCTAAA